CACACAGACTCTCTCTCGCTCTCACACACACACACACACACACACTACTCCCATGTAGTTAAACATTTAGTTACATTTAAAATATATTATTTGTTACACACACTCAGAAACAATTGTTAGCTCCTCAGAAACAGTTGTGGTTGCTACAAAGTAGTTGCCGAGCAACACACAAACGTAAACAAAGGTGTGTTACTTTGTAGCGTCATTTACAACAGCTTCGAACGCGGCTCAGCCAATCAGAGCCAAGCACCGGAACTCTCCGCTTTATAATACTACTTTTACATTTTTAAAATGATAATTATCTGAAATTGTATTGATTTGACTTTTTATTTAATTGATGTCTTCCCTTCTCTTGTTTTAAGCTTGTTTGTTGCTTGTGATGTTTTATGCAGATGCTCGATGTTTCTTTAATAAGGAGCTGGTTTGTGAGTGAAGCTCATACATTCATCAAACGCAGGCTGGATCATTTACAAAGGCAGCATAAAATTGTGGATTTTCGGCCTGCGTAATCTTTAGACAGATAAACAAATTACGGCAGGGGCCGGGGCCGCGCTTGACTGGCTCTTCATTACGTTACCGTGGACCTTTGGCGTGTTAGGGCTCGGCGAGCAGAAAATAACACGACGCGGAGCTAACAGAGCGCAGCATGATAGATGAGGCTGTTTACACAATCTGCCTCGTCTCACACAGCGCTTCCCGCAGAACACAAACCGTGAGCATCTCCATTAACCACTGGCCTCAGCTACATCACTAGTACTACTAGAGCTCAAACACTAACTAGAAAACGCAATTAAACTCAATTTAAGAGCATGTGAAGAAAACACAGTGCTCTCAAAATGTTGAAAACATCAGTGCAATACGTTGATTTTCTTTACTTACTGTGTTTCTGTGGATCCTAAAAAGGTCTTAAAAAGTGCAAATGTCAATTTATTTGCAATGCTTCAATACTTCATAATTCATTTTACAAACACAACAGGCTTGAATAGCTGTTCTGAGCCACTTGAATACAGGAAAAACGTACCGATCACACTGCAAAAAAATGATTTTCTTACTTAGTATTTTTTTGTCTTGTTTTCTAATATCTAAGCATTCTTGAATTGGGATGCATTTACTTGACAAGTTCAATGATTTAAGATATTAAGTCTTGTTTTCTAAAAAAAATAAAAATAATTTTTTTTTTTATTTGAAACGAGCAAAAATATCTGCCAGTGGGGTAAGACAAATAATCTTAATTCAAAGCTAAACAAGATGATTTTTCTTGCTCCACTGGCAGATATTTAGCCAAAACTAACAAAAGTTAGATTTTTTTTTTCAGAAAACAAGACGTAATATCTCAAGTCATTTTTTTTGTAAAGCAAATTAATCTCTATTGAAGAATTTGTATATATTTATACTAGAAAACAAGACAAAAATACAGCAGTGTGCAAAAAAAAGTGACGCTCTTCCTCAAGATTTTGTGTTGTTTTTCAATGCAACTGTCTAAAGATTCTTAAATTAAGATACATTTACTTGAGATATAACATGACAGAAGATACGAGTCCATGATTAAAAACAAATATCTACCAGTGGAGTCAGAAAAATCTACTTAATTCAAAGGGAAACAAGTTTTAATTTCCCACTGGCAGATATTTGTTCTGGTTTTAATCATAAACTCACTTCATTTTGTTCATTTTTTCACAAAACAATGAGACTTTGTATCTTCATTTGTATCTCCAGTAAATGTATCTTGATTTAAGGATGTTCAGATGTTTGTGCTGGAATATGAAACACAAATACTGCCGTTCATGCAACATTTTAATGCGTTCTGCTCTAAATTAAGATATTTTTAAGGCCTTAATTTGTGGAAGAGTGAATTAGGAATGTTTAAGATCTTTTTAGGATCCACAGAAACCCAGTAATTACAAAAAATATAAAAATCAACATATTGCACTGGCGTTTTCTTTCTTTCTGTCCATATATATATATATTATAAATGAAGCAAAAGACACAAAGCACTCCTGAAATCTAAAAATAAAGAGCTGAAGAAAAGGACTGTAAGATCAGAAACCATTTCTATATTTCAGGACACTGCATTTCTGGACTTCAGTTTAGTTTAATCAAGAAGAAAAGCAGCAGAGATCAGATTTAAATCAAACAGTGAACATTTATGAAGCATGCATTGCACTTTTTTTTATTTCATTTTATTTGTGATTTTGACATCACAAACCGTCATCATTTAGAAATAAATCTCAATTTTCCAACCTGATTTAAACAGTTCATTTAAGGGGCGTGTCTCCTTTAAGACACATGAACTGAACTGGCTAATATATTTGCATATGAAATAAGCTTTAATTATGTGGAACTGTGAGAATAATGGAAAATGTGGATTACAGCATTATATTTCAACGCAGTCCATCAGATGTGGTTTTGAACGCAGCATTTATTTCTACAGTGCTTTATATAATACAGATTGTTTCAAAGCAGCTTCACTGGAGAATAACGGTGTTAATGCTATAAAATGCATCAATTAATAAATAAACTCAGTTTCAGCTCTCTCTTTGTTATCATGAAGAAATGTGATTTCTCAATGCATCAGATTAATATCACTCACGCTCACAATCTGACAGAAACGATGAAGCGTGTGTGGTTTAATCATCTCACCTTTACGAGCAGGTCTTTGGCCGAGGCGGACATGAGGATCCGGTCACACCAGGCGGGACATCGAGTGTTCATGTACTGCTTTCCCTGACTGGAGTCTTCACTGTACGGATAACTGCACAAACACACACCACAAGCTGAATAAATCATCTTTCCATTGATGTATGGTTTGTTAGGATCGGACAATATTTGAAAATCTGGAATCTGAGGGTGCAAAAAAATCTAAATATTGAGAAAATCATCTTTAAAGTTGTTCAAATGAAGTTCTTAGCAATGCATATTACTAATCAAACATTAAGCTTTGTTATATTTACGGTAGAAAGTTTACAAAATATCTTCAAGGAACATGATCTTTACTTAATATCCTAATGATTTTTGTCATAAAAGAGAAATGTATAATTGTGACCCATACAATGTATTGTTGGCTATTGCTGCAAATATCCCCCAGCGACTTAACACTGCTTCTGTGCTGCAGGGTCACATATTCACTCACAATCGGGAAGAACTGGTTGTGATTGGTCAGTGCTGTCAATCTGTGCTCTATAATCACTGAATTATAAATGCATTTTAACTTTGCAGTGTAAAACAGGCAGAGCAGTCTTGTAAAACACCGGACCAATCAGCAGCGGATCTGATTTATATTTCTGAGGCTCTGAGGAGCAGATGGTACACGATACAGACACAAAGGACATCAGACCGAGGCGTCCAGATAACAGCACTATGATGTTAATGATGGACTTCCTACATGTGACACTGAGATCACAATCAGACCGTGAATGAAGTGTGTGCATTTATGGAGTCTATTGTGTCCTATCATAACAAAAACTAAAACCAGCAGCAGAAATCACTCGGTTTATCTCACTAAAACAGCTCAGGTTCACTCTGCACATCAGAACTACATTTTTAAAATTTAGCATTCTGAAAATGAAGCTTATTTTCATTAAGATTTTGTGATTGTGATGATGATTCATGACATTTTTTTCCATGACAATTAATCACATTTCCCCCTGAATTCTTTTTATAACAGTGCATTGTAAAAAAAAAAATATTTCATGAAAATAATCTTGTCCAGACATTTGCTATTATTATTATTTAATCTACATGAAATAAATGAAATACAACAAAACGGTGATGAATACGTTTAATAGTGTTTTAAAATGTACATTGAATAATATAATTTAAATATATATTATCCAAATGATATATTATTTTCTTCACATCGAAATGTTTTTGCAAAAACTATTATTTCAAATTTTAACTGTGTTTTAAAATGTACTTTAAATAATATAATTTAAATATATATTTTTAAATAAAATGCACTTTAACACACCCACCCCCCTCACACAAACACTCACACAAACACTCACACACTCACACACACACACACACACACACACTCTCTCTCTCTCTCTCTCTCTCTCACACACACACTCTCACACACACGCACTCTCTCACACACACACACACTCTCTCTCTCGCTCTCTCTCTCACACACACACACACACACTCTCTCTCTCTCTCTCTCTCTCTCACACACACACTCTCACACACACGCACTCTCTCACACACACACACACTCTCTCTCTCGCTCTCTCTCTCACACACACACACACACACTCTCTCTCTCTCTCTCTCTCTCTCACACACACACTCTCACACACACGCACTCTCTCACACACACACACACTCTCTCTCTCTCTCTCTCTCACACACACACACACTCTCTCTCTCTCACACACTCTCTCTCTCTCTCTCTCACACAAACACTCTCACACACACGTACTCTCTCACACACACACACACTCTCTCACACTCTCTCTCTCTCTCACACAC